GCTCTGAGGGAGTGAACCAGTGAGCCTTGAGGGAAAGAAGAGTCCATATCCTGGCTGAACTTCAACTGAACAGCTACAAATGTACTGATATTAAAGAATTGCCCTTTTCTACTGAACGCTGAATAGGTCACATTGATTAGATACTCAAGTTCAGTAACTGAAGCTGAATGGCACAGGTGTTCTATACATAGTGTTCTGTCAGTGGTGCTGCGCTGTAGGAGTTGACAGAACACTATGTATAGAACACCTGTGCCATTCAGCTTCAGTTACTGAACTTGAGTATCTAATCAATGTGACCTATTCAGCGTTCAGTAGAAAAGGGCAATTCTTTAATATCAGTACATTTGTAGCTGTTCAGTTGAAGTTCAGCCAGGATATGGACTCTTCTTTCCCTCAAGGCTCACTGGTTCACTCCCTCAGAGCTACCCTGAGATCTTGATACACCCTGCTGGGTAGTCTGAGACTCATGTGTGGTCTCTGTGGATGCCTCTCCTTCTGCCCTGCTTAAAGAGAGAAAGCTTTTAATTCTGATGCGGGTTTCTTAAGCTATAGGCCAGTCACATGACTGATTTGGAAAGATTAAAGCATCACTTATCACCAAGCTTGATTAAAAACCTACCCATCTTTTTTAGATGATTGTTTGCGCTTCAGTTATTGCATCTAGGACTTAATCTTATACCGTTTAGTCCAAAAGTCAGGCAGGATTCATGGCATGCAAGACGAGGACTTTAAGACAGCAGTTCTAAGAATGAGTTTCTCCCCTCCACCCCATTAGAAAAACAGTGACCGTGTCAAGGTTTTTAAGCTACCCCTATGTAAGTTAGGGGAATGAACTCTTTAGGTAACTCTAAGCTTCACAGGGCCTAAGTTTGATCCTTGATGACTTATTAGAGGGGGGAAAACTAGTAAAGAGGCCATTCACAGAAGCTGAATCTGACAGGAGTTTACTCAAATTGTTATTCATTGCAAAGTGACAGTTGTAGTCATTTGCATCTCTTGGAAAGCAGGAAGAACCAATGCCCAAGTAACCATCCTTAGCAAGTGCAGCATTTGGTCTATATTCCAGGTCAGTAAGTGATCTCCCCAGCCTTCCTTTAGAACCTTGTACCCAGTTCAAGAGACGAAGTTATTCCCATTTTCTCATAGCAAGACCACATTCAGACTGTAAGCAAGTGCAACTCCATGACTTATTGTGCTGCACCCACTTAAGTCAGGTGAGCACTAAGGCCAAGGTTCTAGTTTTTTGTTTGTTTAAAAACAAAACAAAAAAACAAAACAAAAAAGCAGAGTGATTTAGTATGTAGAAGGGACAGGTCACTAGCTTTCTTGGTCTGTTGTCATGACCCTCCCTATCAGGGGAAGATACTGCTTTTAGGTACAGATCAGAAGGTTGAGATACCTGTGCTCTTGATTTTAGTCTCCCTCACAACACTTGTTTATTACACTAACTGAGAAGCTAGAACTCCCAGCTTGACACATTCATAATGAGGGGTCAGACCAATCATTTGATGGGTTAGACACTTGGTGGTGGTTAGTTCTGCTCTCAGACTGCAAAGTGTAATGGTAACTTACATGACAAAGAAGAATATGGAGGCAAGAAATCCAACAACTAGAAGGAACATAAGAGTGCTTAAGATTGAGGTGATGACAATCATTCCTCCACTCCTTCGCCCAGGCCAGGTATCAATTGTTGAAGCCTGTTTTACTAGGAGAGGTGGGATGAAGAAAAAAAATATTACTGTACATATTTAGAGGTTCCAAGAGACCAGAAAGAGTGACTATAGACAGCATAAACTAGGGAAGTTAATGGCTCAAGCCTTCCCCACCCCCACAGTATCTGGTGTTAGACTTTTAAAGTCTATGTACTGCTGGTCTTGGCATTTCAACATCCTTCATTTGAAATCTTGAAGTCCTTTACAGAATTAATTTAAGCCTCAAAAATACCCCTGTAATAGAGAAATTTACCCACTTTAAATAGGTAAATCACTTAACCTCTCTATGCCTCTTTATCTAGTGGCTGCAGCAGAGGCAGAAATAGAATCCAGACCTAAGCTCAAACCACTACACAACCCCCCCCCCCAATCTGTGTCATGTTTGAGCTTTTTGTCCTGAGGGCATCAGGGGAGCAGTAGTATTCCAGAGTTACCTCCACCACTTAGCTTTAATGATGCATAACAGTTTTTGGGTCAGAGAGGACTGGAATTTGTTTCTTTAGCCAGCATCTTGGCAGGAAGTGACTAAATGTCCTAAAGCATATTTATTTTTTCCCCCAAGAGGGAGCAGTTGACCTTGGTTTTTGGTACTTACCCCTACTGGTTTTCATTGGATCAGACCAGAGAGTTTGGTCTTTCACAACACCTGCAACCACATCTACTAAGAGGTACTTAAACCTGGAAGCAGAGACAGGCAGGTTAATCATTCTAGCAGAGGCTTTGACAATCAGGCATATAAACCAGTCCAATAGCTGCCAAAAAAAAAAAAACTAGGTAATATCTTGTCAGAGAGATACATATAAAAGGGGTGGCTAGCTAGTCCAGAGGTTTTAGAGGGGAACAGAGGG